GCATTATTACAATAATTAAATTTCATTAGGAGTATATATATTGAAAAACTTTCGTTTTTAAAAATGTCAAATTGTTCAATTTCATTGCATATCTCCTCGATTATCAAATATTCAGTTTTTAAACAATATTTCGATTGATTTGCCATTAACAAAAAAAAAAATTGGAATTATTTAAATAAAAAAAAAATGAATGATGCCGGGATTGAACCCGGGCGGCCGCCGGCGTGCCAGTCGAGCACGTTACCACTAGGACAACGCGCTTATTGCAATATTATAAATTCATTAGGAGTATATATATTGCAAAAGTTTCGTTTTCAAAAATGTCAAATTTTTCAATTTCACTGGATATCTTCTCCATTTTCAAAAATTCAGTTTTTAAACAATATTTTCATTGATTAGCCATTAACAAAATAAAAAAATAGGAATTATTAAAAAAAAAAAATGAATGTTGGCGGGATCAAACCCCAGCCGTCGGCGTACTAGCCGAGCACGCTGCCAATTAGACAACGCGCTGATTATAAAATTATAATTTCATTAGGAGTATATCTTCAATATATTAAATAATTTTTTCCATTAGAAAACCCGCCAAAAACCCCCAGAACTCAGCCTCTACTTCAGTCAATCCTCCTTGACTACATTTATAAAATCCGAATATCTGTCTTATCACCAGCCGATGAAAAGAAAACCTAAGATACCAACATCATCGAGACGACAGGTGGAGTGGCATGTTTCATTGATGAAATTCATATTCGAAATATTTGAATTGAATTTGAATAGAAGTCCTATATTTGATCATGGTAAATAACAATTGTATGCAATTCTAGTCTATCAAATTTTTGGCATCTAGTGTCGTTCGGAAACTACCAGCTCAAAAAATATGAAAGAAATATGATCAAAGGCTGAGAATGCACTTGTGGGTTCGCCTGTGAGTATTCCAGACATGTGGCGCATGGCAAAGCCTTACATTTATATTGATCGGTTGCGCGATTCCCTTCTTCATGATGGAACCTGTCTCCCCTCTATCAAATTAAAGTTGTCTGTACTGTCAAAGGAGTACTGACTGTGCAGCAAAACGAGTCCTTAAAATCCCATCATCAACCTCGACTCCAGTTCTCGTCATTCCTCCCAGCTAAAACATCATGTTCCACTCAATAATTTCCAGGGAATTCGTCCTACTATGTAAGTAAATTATTTATATGATACCCCTTTCGGTTTTTACCCTTTACTTCCCATCCCTCAAAGAAAATATGTTTCATAAACCGAAATAATTTCGAACGACAAAATATTCTCCCTGAATTCATTCATAAATTGTGGAATTTTTATTTTAGGGTGCCTATTCTCCACTTCCTTCAGTGTACCTACATCATTACCACAGAGAATTTACGATGAATTGTACACGACGAGCAGACCAAGCAGGACAATCGTAGAATTGAAAAGTACACCACGACCAATAGTGAGTTGAAGGAAAAATATAGAGAAGTTATTTTCTACCCCAAACAGCGACATTTGTATTGATTACGAGAAAAGTAATTGCTTCAACGAGACTTGCGAGGAATTGCAGAAAAAACTCAATAAAAGTTTGAGCCGAGAGTTGTGAGAGTCTAAGGGTAATCACACCCTCGTGCACTTTTTCTATTAAACTCAGTCGTACGTCAGAAGTTTACGCAGATGCTACTGCTCCCATTCACCTGTTCGTGAGTGGGTTTTGACCACACCTACACATTCCGCGAAATGTTATATGCTAAGTACCAAGCCTTAGGTATTGGTTTTCACAGGGTAAATTTATTCGACTAGTAAATTGAATAGAGACCACGAAAATATATACTTGAATCAAATATTTCGTAATGATTCCAGTCTTTTTTCATGTTATTTCATTATTCGATAAAAAAAATCCGCTTTTATTTCGATAAAAAAATTCTTTTATAAGTCATATGATATTATATTTCAATGGAGTATTTTTTTTTTTCAGCCGAAGAGTCTGGGGTTGATGAAGACCACAAATAGTGAAACTTCGACAACAACTTCAACACCACCAGCTCCCAAGATATTGTCGGGTGGTCCAGTACTTTATAGGCTTAATAGCCCCGATGGACGGGCATGTATTCTCCTTCAAGTTGATGCTCTTATTTCTGCAAAGTATCGCACAACCTATGGAGATGAACGCACAGCGAATATTTACATTCCGGATCATGCCACTGTCACTGGAAACTGCGAGAAAGAAAATTTTGTCACTATGTCACTCAAGTGGGACGCTTACGTATTGTCTTGGAGCTTCGCAAAGGTTTGTTGTAAAAATTCCACTGTAATTACACATGAGGGGATTAAATATACTGATAATTTTCCATTTGTTTGCAGACACCCGGGGGTGAGAGATGGTACGTGGATAAAATCGAGTTGACTTACAACTCCAGTGACCGTCATTTCGAGCATATCGATCAACCCAGTAAGTAGAATAGATCTCCAATGAAGAGTTAAGGAATTATCATCAAGGTTTTTTGAAACTTCATAAAATTCAATTGCTAGGACTTTTGCACATTCACTGGTATGGCGTGACCGACGAGAGGATGCGAATTTTAATAGTTTTCACGGATGACTTTGTCATAACTTTCTTTTAATTAATTCTGTTAAGATTATTCATTTCAAGCAAAAAGGTTTGAATATTTTTTGCGTAAAATCCAATGGAGGAATTGCCTCATTAATTACTCCATGTGTCAAAATTTTTTTTTTCAATTACAGAGAAAACGATTCGACTGAGTACCAATCAGAAATCCAATCCAACGCTGTTTCCAACTCCCGTCGGAAAGTCGTTCATCTGCGAGGAAATTGATCTTCCCCTCTCAGATGGAAAGAACAATGCAACCCTAGAACTCAGGTGATTAAAATTTGTAATACAAAAAATTAATTGTCCAGATGTAATGAATTACTCACATAATGAATAATCTGTCACAGAGCAATCCAACTGCAGCCATTCAAATTCAAGACTAACGATTTTGCCGAGTCTTTTTCCTGCAAATCTCTGAGCGCACGAGCTGGAAGGGATGAAACAGCACCAGTTGCTGTTGGATCAACTCTAGCTGCTGCTGTACTTTTAACAATCACTGGTTACGCTGGCTGGCGGTACTTCAAAATTAAGAAGGTCAAGTATGATACGATGGAGTAAATTTTCCATTGTTGAAACACAACGGGAAATACGTAAGAATGAGATACTAAATTCCTACAATTCTTGGCCTTAGGTTTAATCGATATAGCATTCATATAGATTTTCGAATACAACCGAATATTATTATGTCAACTTATGGATAAAAATCATATGTCGACTGTTCGTTGTTGAACAGAAATATTAACATGCAAATAACATGTTATGCGGAAATGAAAGGACCCTCATTGTCGCAATCGATAATGTTTGAGTTACGAAATTGTTTCAGTTTCTATTGACAGTTGCTCCCTATTGATGCTTTCGTATCGATAATGGTATATTCCATTTCTGTAGTCTATACCCATGAGGTCAATTGTTTCAGTTTTCATAAATAACTCTGACTTAATTTAATAATAATTAAATGGTTATTTAATTAGCGCAATTTTTATGTCATTAGGATAATTTAAAAGATAAATTTATCGTCGTGCAGTTATCACAATTATTTTTGCGTATTCATTGTGAAATTTGAAATTTTTATTTGAATAATTACACTCATTTGCGGGTGAAGATAATTTTTTTGGTAATTATTTTCGGTTATTTATCATCTTTTTTTGTTAGTTAGGACAAAATTTTTATTGTAAAGTAGTCAATACGATGTAGGACTAATGGAATATATCCGGGATATCGCAAACTCCAATGGTTGTATGGATAATAAAAATATGAAGAATATTTGTGAAGAAGCAACGCGCATCAGCTCGTTCCTTATTTTAGAAAATAATTGTCAACCCTATCATGCATGGAACACACACGATATATCGATCGAGGGACACGTGAGTATCGATAAAGGCTGTAAGAAAAAGAGGGTGTGTCCTGTACACGTGTACATTAACTGAAAGTATCCATGCATGAGGGAGTTGATAAAAAAAAATAAATTATCATTGTCAATATCAGCATATCAGAACACGAATTGTGATGAAAATATCTCATCGATCAATTTCTCTTTCATCAGGTATGAAATAGTATGTTACGAGTACATAAAGTTGTACTTTTCATGCCCCAGTGCAGAGCACATGATATTTTTTTTCACGAGGTTTTGCGCACTTGGTGGTTAAAAATGTTGTTTGTACACATCATGCCCTCGGAAAAATTTAAATATTCATTCTGGAGACCTGTATCTTTGGTAAATTTTGAGAGGAAAAATGTAATTGACATGATTTTAATTACAATTAATCAAGTTACTGTACTGGCTCGTTTTTTTTTTATTATTCACAGCTATTAATACTCATTAATGATACCGATTAATACAAAAATTCATACCGAAAGCGTTGACATTTTTCATTGAATTCTCGTACACTCATTAGCTGTACAAAAAAATTGTCATAAGTTAGAGGAATATCTGCAAAACAATCTCAAAATGTTAATTTGTGTAAGCATAAGACGAAAAGCCTATGGATGGTGCTGGAAGTGATTCGAAAAAATTTTTACAAAATCTATTATGTTTCTAGTATTATAAAAAAAAAATTCTCATGGTCCTCTTATTCAATTAATTGAAGAGAAGCAAAAATAAATGTAATTGCATCTCGAAATGGTGTGACGTCGATTAAATTTTTCGAGAGTCAATAAATCGTCAACTCTTGGTGAAAGCACTCTGTCTATTAATTAAAATGAAACATTGTAATAATTATTCGCTTGAGTATTTAATATCCATGAAAACAGATAAATATATATTATACATTTATAACCTTCGCTCTTCTTCCTTGAGCTAATTACGGAAGAGATAAATTCGTTACATTAATCGATGCGTGCAGGTACGATTAACACGCATGATTATATCATTTTACCTGTTTACATGTACATATTTATTGTCATGAATAAAATATATATTATATATTCGCATAATATATACGTAAATGATAATTAAAATATGATATAAACCTCTGTCTTCCAAATGCGTAGTGAAGGAGAAGAAGCAAGATTGAAGAAAAATACATTTGAAAATATAATTATTGACGATATTTGATGAGCGATATACAAAAAATATAGTTATGTAAATAATATCAATATTGTGCAGATGCATTATTTCGTGTTTGAAAACAATAAATGAATTATGAAATAAAAAATTTATTTATTCATTCCAAAGGAAATACCGAAGGTAGTATTATTAATTTATCAAGTTATTCTTATTATTTTTTGCATTAACATCATGCGTGAAAATAATTATTTAATTCTCTCGAGACTCAAAATCTTTTGATAAATTTGAAAATTTCATAAAATAAATTTGATATTCGATAGAATTGAATGATATTTGCGATTTTTAATTCGGCATTGTTTAAAAGATTGAATTATTCAAATAGTTGCTTGTGTCAAAAATATTTTTAATTTTTTTATGAGACTCATGCGTTTACCAGATTTTACACAATATTTCGGTCATTGAATGGAATATTTCTCCACACGATTAGCATCTCCATTGAGGCTGAGCCAAATTGCAGTTATAGCCAGATGGTTCGAAGTGATTCCAAAAAGGAGATTGAAAAAAAGTTGGATGTAGTAGCAATGGCAAAAGGGCGTGAAAAGTACAGTCAAGCGGGTTTATATCCCCTCAAGAATGCCCTCTCTGTCAGTGGCCCTTTCCTCCACCTTTTTTTCCAGGAGACGTCCCTTTGCGTAACGCGTGTACATTGTCAATGGCTTATTGTCGTAATGCCCATTATAATTCAAAAAATACCAGCAATATGAATGGAAGAAGAGAGAGACAAATGCCGGTACAAATCGTATTGTTAACCCCTCTCTTGAATGAGACATCCTGTTGCCTACCACTATTTTACTCCACCCAGTTGTCACCAGTCCTCGAATTTTCAGCGTCTTTTCTCCGTTTTGTTTCCCCTCCTTTTTCATCTTAATCCCTCAGCGAAATCATTCGTCTCCAGCCATTTGTCATCAACCAATAAAATTATTCATTAAAAAAAAAATCCACGCCAATCCATTTCATTCAAATGTCCATAAAAAATTTAAATTTCCATCTATTCCAATTATTTTTTCCACAAATTTCCAAGAAGTTCACTCATTGAATAATCAATAAAAAAAATCGACCCCAGAAATTTGCGAATGCAAAATTTTTATTGATCCTCTTAATTCCGTAATTTATCCAAGTGTAAAAATTATTTATGCGTTAATAATTTATTAAAAGTGATGTCCGATGATTTACCATTGATTGGATGAACGAAGAGCCAGTGGGAAAAACTCAACGGGATGATGATTTTTCCCTCCGGAAAATGCGTAGAAAATGTGATATAGTACTGGCGGGCACAGGAGACATACTCATACTGCAATAAGTAATGTTAAGGTTATAGGGGGTGGGTTTATAACACTCATCAGTGTGCAAGAGGCCAGGAGAATCATCCCCGGCAGTGCGTCGGTGTCCTGTGTCTCCCATGTCGGCTTGTTATCCGTAACGCCCCATCGTTATCCGCAATTACCCTCTCCCCAAACCAACCTCCAACCTATCCCCTATCCCCTATCCTCATCCCACCACCCTATTTTTCCCCACCCACCCTCTCCACCCTCTCCACCCGCCCCACCATCCCCCACCGACAGTACCTAGTTTATAAATTATAGAGCCATCCACTGAGGGGTATATACGCGTGGGGTATGTTATAGGGATGAAGAGGTTTACATCTGTCATCAAACCCAACCCAATTACATTCAATTATCCATGGATAACGATGTTTATTTTTCACATTATTATTTACGATCCTATCAATTAATGATCACGTGTTTTCCACATTATTACTGGTGAATTAAATGAATTAATGTCATTTACGCGTAATTACTGCAATTAAAGGGACCAGCCGACGCATTCGTACGTTTGACGTTTAATTATTCCGTTATTTGTTTGCTGTTAATTTGGGGGCGGGAGGGGACGGGGGGGCGGTAAGGCTTTTAGATGATTTAATGATGTATTAATTATGTATGAAATGTAATTGATGGAAGTACAGTTTTTTGTTTATAAAAATCTTGGGAATCATTTCGTTGGATTTTTGGGTTGAAAACGAATTTTTTTTGGCTATTTGTATTGAGGGGTTTTGAGAGGTTTTTGTGGGGGAGATCTACCTGAAAATTTGGGAATAATGGCCTCTGTATTTTGACAGGATTAAAATGGCATGACCCCAGGGGAGGGGAATTTTGAGTTGCGCACACGCGATGTAATTGAATATTTTCATTTGCAAATTGTACTTGACTTGTTATTTTCTCAGCTTCCGTTTCAACTTTTCCAGAGTCATCTATCACACAAGTATAATATTACGGGTATTCTCTCGTAACTCAGTTTCCAGGAGGCGGTCCTAAAAATAAATCTTTGAGTGTCATGACTATTAAATTCCCACAGGTTGGACTTGGGGTCTTTGTCAGGCCGTGGAGCATCCGCGGTTGATAAGGCACGCGTCCTTGGGGATTTTGCAGTGTCAGCCCCAAGGGTAACGCCAACTCGGCGGTTACAACTTCAGTCGCCATTTCCTCAGAATATTGACTATTTATTTTTTTATAATTTTTCTTCAGAGGGCAAAATCTATTTCCAGATACCTATAGCCGCCAAGAACCGCTGGATTATTATGTGCATATAAATAATATATAATGAATATATTATATAAAAAATAATTAAAGATAAGACCTCTACCCGAAATTCCGTCTCGCACATCTCCAGAAATATTTTACGAAAATAATGATAAACAATTATATAATTATATCACGGGTGAAATTTTGGTGTGGAACAGGGTTTTTTAATTTTTTTTTTAAATATATGAAAAATATAATTTCAATTGCAATTTTTTTAAACTCTCGATGCGAATAATTGTTTTTGGTAAATTGCATTTATCCGCATTTATCCGCGGTTGCGGTAAAAATGACCGTTTGTGTTAGATCTCAATTTTTTTTTTCGCTTCGTGTGAAGAAAATTTGTTTCCTTGTCATCCTGAAAATCCGTGGAATTTCCCCGTTGCCTGGTGGGCGTGGTTTTTCCTCCGGCGAAAAATCTGTCGTGGATGTAGCGGATATAATGATGAAAAGCATTGAAGCACCAGAGGCGTGTTGACAAAGCGAATCGACACTTGAATGTACTTCAATGCTTTCACACCATGGGTCAATGGTGAAAAGAGCATCAGGACACTTCTGCCCGTTGAGTTTTTGTGTCTAATTTCAACCTGTGAAATATCGATTGAAATGAGCCATTTTTTCATTTCTTCATTTCTGAGTTGTACGATAACTATTTTTTCCAACCGATTTCCAGTTTTCCGCCGATTTCGCAAGATCTAAGGGAGATAACGATTTTTTCATAATTACCTTTCTTCTACCTCTCATCTTTTTCTACAAAAAAGGTTCACGCAAAAAATTCGCTGCGGTCCGCCAATTCCGAGATACTGGCTAAAAAATGGCCGCGAAAAAAAAATCATTCATCCTGGTGATTATTTAAAAATAAATTTCAGGGTAAAATGGGGGATTTTGAGGAAAAGTTTGAG